CCCGTCGGCTATTGGTCGGCAAAGGGTCTGACGTTGCAGTAGGGTCGCGCTTAGGAGCCAGAGACATCTGGATAAGGCTGCCATCGCGTACAGGGGATTTCCGTCCTGCGAGAGCCCGCGGGAGAGAGCTTTTGAGCCCCGACAGTTCGTCAAGGAGCAGCCACCACCAAATCTCCGGCCGGGCCAGCTCGTACCAGGACAGGTCGAAAACCTGTCCTTCCGCTAAGCGCAGGACTGGATCACAAAACTGGGCCAATGCCACGGACACCGCAAGCAGTGGTGTTAAGCAGACGCGAAAGGCTTCGCCCTCAGTGCAGCGTCGCAACATGAGGGCGCGGTCCGCAAAATCCACAACTTTCACCCCAAAGTTCTGTGGACTGAGTTTGAGTTCACAAGCCGGCAGCGACAGGGGGAGAGAAAGCAGGGTAAGGCAGTCCGGAGAGCTGGGGAGTATAGTTGCTGAAGTGCCCCAGCGCAGTCAAGTCCTTGAACCGGCTGTTGAAGTCTGCCCCTAGCTTGGTAGCGGCGAAGGGTGTCATGCTGCTCCGCGAATTCATCCTCATCATCCGCTGGTACACACCTGCTGGCAATTGAGGTGACCCCTGGCACAAGGCGATCAGGCGGGGATTCGACCGCGCCCAGTAGGTCCTCCACACGTTGAGTCCATGTAGTGGTAGGTGCAACTGGGTGAGAGGCCGCACAGCTTTGGCTGCGTAGCTCGGCTGTCAGCGTCGGATCTTCCTTGGCAGGCTCTCCGATCTCCGGGTCCGGGCGCACCGCACCTGTCGGATCATATAGGGCTTTTGGCAGTCCAGTAGTAGCCACCGGCGGGAGCAATGTTGCCTGAGGGGAAGAATGTCGTAGGCGCGACGACACATAGCGCTGCAACCTCCCTAGCAGCCTGGTGTTGACTGTGTCAGAGGAAATAGCGTAGAAGTAGAATGCGCCGGGCACGGCCATCACTGTTGACTCCGACACACCAGCGTTGCCGCGGCACTCAGTGGCAGGTTCCGCGCAGGGCATGTGAGACCCAATCAGCGATCTGTGATGGGTGGAGCGGAGGGCACTGAAAAGCCTCTTGGGGAGAGGGACACCACCTCCTCTGTGGTCACGGAGGCGATGGAGCCCGAACCTCGGCGGGTTAGTGAATTCCAGTAGTCCAAACACAGGAAACTTGGTATCGATGATAGGGTAAAACGGCCGTGCCGCGATGGACTGACCGCGCGGTCCACTGTGCTCAAAGTCCACCCCCCGAAGGAGGAGCTGAACCGGGTAGCCCTCTATGCCACTGTGAGCTGCGACCGCTGTAGCCTTACAGAGCGAGGGGACGCGATTCACGGACCATCGTTCGTAAAACTCCTGGGCAGTCTTTTTGTCCTCGCGGGGAGGGCTTGATATCCCAAGCTTGGCCAGCCCATAGGCGCTGTACAGCTCCTCCCATCGCACGTGGGTGTGATGAAGGACAGAGTGGAGCTCCAACGCCGCCGGAATACCCCACCAATGAGTGGGGGAGGCGATGATCAATGGGCCCGTGGGTCGCGTGCTGCCCGCCGTGAGCCGCTGGTGAGCATCCTCTCCGGTCATGGTAAAGCGGCCAGCCCTGTCGATAATGCAGATGTCGACTGCACCTGTAGTGCCAGCTCAGCGCAGACTGTAGTGGTGAAGAGGTCCACAAATGCCCCCAATTCATTGTGATGGTCATAGAAGAAGGAGAAGAGGGATGCAGCCTGCGCCTCCGTGGTAAGGTGTCCCGGCGGGGGAAGCTCTGGCAGCCAATCCGAGATAAACTCCGCGAGGGATGTACCTTCCGCCACCACTCGGTGCGCGTTACCCGTGTCCGCGTTGGCGGGGCGAGCATTGCTGAGGCCAAGACCATGCTTGAGGGCGTCAAAAACCCGGGTGGTGGGTGTGACTACCGTGACTTTCCGTCCCGCCTGCACTGCGAAACGATGCCCGCAGACGTTGTAGGCGAATACCAGGAGGACACAAAGCAATTCCATCAAGCCATCTGGGTGCATGTCCGAGGATGTATGCCGCGGTAATCGGACGAAGTACACTCCTGGCTGGTGAGTGCCGTCCGCCGCTACCCGTTGAAGCCGCCTCGCCGCGGTGTCCGCAGCTAGCTCACCAATGGTGATCGGGCACGGAGTGGCATCGGAAACCCTGTGCATACTGATGGATTGAGGGTAACGAACGGCCGTGATTAGTAGATAAAGGTCAGCCAGCAGCCTGGTGGAGGCGACCAGGGCTAGATTCAGGCAAACCCCATTGATAGGGGCCAAGCCTTCAGCTTGCATAGCGGTATTGGCCGGCGCCAGTATTGCACCGACAGCTGACAGACGATTGAGATAGCACAACATCGAGGAAGTCCACCGCAATAGCCGCTGGCGTGAGCCGGTCGGGGTGAGGGCACACTCGGTCACCTATGCTGGTGATGCCTGAATAAGGAATGAAGTATTTCATCCCTTGTCGGGTGACCCGACACCCTCGTAGCTCCTGCAGATCCTCATCGAGGCTGACTCCAACCTCTTCCTCAATGCCAAAGAGGCACTCGGACAACTCACGACACACGGTTATGGTGGCTCCCGTCGGCGGCTCAGCGCCCTGATGGCCGTCATGCCGGTGTCCTCTGCTAGTCCACCGGATGGTGTGAAGCGGCCCCTGCGGTGTAGACTGAACCAAACCTCTCAGTGCCGCGGCAAGGCGTCCCGGGGAGACAGGCTGCGGGGCTAGTTGGGCGACGCCGCGGATGCCGACTGGCTTGGCAATGAGTCGTGCCAGGGTGCGTACTTGGACCTCGCCTTTACCGCCACCCGCGGGTTGGCGTGGGTCCCCGGTGCGGATGACGAGCTGGCCGGCAGTGTTCGCAAGGATGGCCGCCGAGGCGGGCTGTCCCTCCTGTTGCCCCTCGTCAATAACAATGACATGTGCACTGGCTAGGTAGGTTTTCACCTCGCTATAGGAGGCATAACGAAGTTGCAGCGCGGCAGAGCCCTGCGTGAGCAGCAACATGTGAGCACTGCCAACTGAGGGGGATGTGAGACGGGCGTTGCGCCTCGTGGATCCTGGCTGAGTCGTGGCAATCTCTCCTAAGTCAGCCGCTTTATGTTCAGCAGCGTCGGTGAAAGGCACATGATCAAATAAAGGGTCGATCATTTCGGCATCGCCAGACACCCTACGCACAACGACAAGCGGGCGCAGCCATTGTGGGGCATCGACCAACAGGTTGGAGGCAATACGGACAACAGCAATGAGCGCAGAATGCTGCTGCGCCGTCCAGAATACCGTTTGCTCCAGAACAGCATCCAGACAGACCAGGGCGCACCACAGAGAGAAAGTTTTGGATGAGCCAGCACAGCCCAGGATGCTGAGAGAGCTGCGTCCTTGTGCCCGAGCGGCTAGAATGGCTGTGATGTGTCCGCTCAGGAGGCCATCCGGGCTGTTCAGAAGCTCAGCAATGTGGCGACAAAAGGACTGTCCCATCAGGGCAGCCAGCGCGTGCAGCTCTTTTGGGATCAGCGATGCCGGGAGACGCCAATTGCTGCAGAAAGGCTCCCGAGGGTTGCAGCGCCTGGCTACTGGGTGGAGGGCAACGATGCGCTGTTTGAGCCGCACAAAGTCGGCCGGCGTAAGGTCAGGGGCAGGTGGGAATTGAGGGGCTCTGGCAGCCGACTCCACTGCCTGCAAGAAGGACAGCGCAAGATGCACTTCCGAGGCGAAGTGGCTCCGAGGCCGTGGCGCAGGTAAGGTGCACGGGCGCACGGGCATGCCAATGGCCAGTGGGACACGTGCCTCAGGCATTTTGAGTACTTGCAGGAATACATCGAGAGCGCCACCAACCTTAATGCAAGACATACTTTGGAGGGAAAGGCCCCAGCTGCAGTCCTGGCCAGGTTGAGGGGCGGCCCCGAGAAAAGATGGCCACTGCCGGATGAGCAAGAGCGCAGCAGTCGGGTTGAGGCGGTTGAGACGACGCTCGGCTTTGCGTTGTTCGCGTGTTTTGCCTTTCAACCGGTCAGGGACGATCAAATCCACAAATACGGCCATCAGTTGCCCTCGCTGGAAGGTAAGCTGCAGAAGGCATCCCTCAGTGGGAGGCCGGTTAGCGCTTTGTCGATGCGAGAACCAGCCAGTGTCCTCCGTAGGCGTATAGCCGTGGGGACACGATAAGCCAAGCACGTATGTGCCAAAGCTGAGGCAGTCTTCAACCTTCAGCACCACCGGTAGACCCCGTGCAAAACGCCTGGTTGTGTGTTGAAACTAAAGGCTTCTCAAGCCTTCCTTCCCACTCTACTTTCAAACACACTTTTCTCACTTCGCGGGCTGACTTCCTTAAGCCTCCGTGTCGCGGTTCACACACATGTTTCATGTGTTCTCGTGATTACTCTACACACTCTACTTGGGACTACGTGCACTAGGTTACAAACGAACACCCCGCCTCAGAAAGTTCTTGCGGGTTCCTAGGGTGTTCTTGGAAACTGCTAGGGCTTTCTGTACAGTGCTTTTGCTAGGGACTTTCGTCTCCGTTGTTCTTGGTCTTTTACCTAGCTGCACTCCTGCCCTGTTGCTACTTAGGCCTTCTATGTCTGTACATTGGCCTTCTTGAAAAACCTACTCTGTATGTACAGCTACGTTCTAGTTAGGTCCAGCCTATGGACTCTTTGCGGGGAGGCCCGTACCCCGGTTTCCTTCTGCCCTTACGTAGCCTACGGGCTTTTCTTCTTTCGGGCTTCTTCTCTTTGTTCTTGGCTTCTCCGGCTTCTTGCCTCTTCTGGCCCTTGTACCTTCCTAGCCTGCCTTTTGTGAAACTTCTTGTGAGACTTTGGAAGGTTGTAGCTTACCTAGGCTTACTGCCCCAGTTTGCTACGTCTATACATTTGCTCACACTTTGTACATGAATTCTTGTGCTAGTATACATCAAGTCTTACGTTGCTTAGCTATGTACATATGTACAAGCGTTCACTGCTTGACCTGCTCGATCATCCCTTCTCGGGATCCTTTCACTGGGTCTGCACCCAGTTCTTGGACTTCTTGCCTTTACCCTTTCCTTTGGGTGTCCACTGGTCCCACTGGTTCTGCTGCGCCCACTCTTCTGGCGTCTGCCAGTAGCCTTTGTTGTGCGGGTTCGCGTTCTCGTACCAGTTGCTGCCGTCGTCGGTGGTGCTCCAGTTCTCGTTATTCCACTGGTCGTTGTACCACCAACCGTCGTTCTGTCCGTCGTCCCAGGAAGGGCCTTTTCCCTTCGTTCCTTGGTTGTCGTGCTTGCCTTTCGCGTGGATGCGTCGCTGCACCTCTTCTTCGATCTTCTCGTTCTCCTTGGTCTCGAGGAATTTATCCAATTCCTTTCCGCCTGTAAACCAAATGTTGTGTTTCCTGTAGCACTCCGTCACCTTGTTCCAAAGGAGGCGGCCTTTCACCGGAGCGTTCTTGATTCTTGGGGCTCCTTTCTTGTCCTCGCACTTCGCGCGGTACTCTTGCGTCTTCTTGTTGAACTCCCACACGTAGCCAAGCTGCGTGAACTCGGCGATGTCGTTCGGGTCGACGGTGGTTTCGTCTCCTTGGTTGCTTGACGGCTTCTCTTCTTGGTCTTCTGTCTCTACCTGCTTTGGCCTTTTTCCCTTCATCTTCTCTTCCTCTTTTGCCTGCGCTTCTTTCTTCTCTTTCTCTTCTTCTGCTTTGCTCTTGTACGCTTCTTCTGTTTCTTCTTCACCTTCGCTTCCAGACAAGGTTGCACCTAAGGTTTCCTTGAGGCTTTTGACCTTCTTCTTGTACTTCACGATCTTGTCCTTAGCTGCAAGTAGAAGTGCGTCCACTTCCTGTGAGTAACCTTTGAAGTAGTGGTAGTCGTCCTTGAGGCTCTTGTAGTCGTACTGGAGGTCGTCGAGCTTCTGGTTCCTTACTTTCTCTTCTTGCTTTAGCACTTTAAGCTCTCTCTCCAAGTCCTTCTTTGCGTCGTCAACGTACTTCCTGGCGTACTCTTCTCTCTCCTGGTCGTAGCCGGCGGTTCTTTCCTGGGCTTTTCTCTCTCTCTTCTCTGCCTCTTTCTTCTTCTTTTCAACCTCTGCTTCCTTTGCTTTGACGTTCTCCTCAGCTTCTTCGAGGGCTGTCTCCTTCTCGCTTAAGACCTTGGCTTGCTCTTGGAGGGTCTCTTGGTCTTTCTCTAACTTCTCTTCTCTTTCTGTAACTTTGTCTTCCTTTTCCTTCACCTCCTTCTGCTTCTTCAAAAACCTTTTCACTGTCTCCTCAAACTCTGTCTTCTGGTTTCCGAACTGCTCCTTCTCCTTCTCCAGGCTTTCCTCATCTTTCTTCAACTTCTCTGCTCTCTCTGTCACTTCTTTCTTTGCCTCGTCGAAGGAGTCCACGTCGTAGTTCACCTGAGCGGCAGGAGCTTCGTCTCTTTTCTTCTTTCGGTTCTTCTTCTTCTTTTCCTTCTCTCCACTTCTGCTTCCTGAGCTGCTTTCCTCTTCTTCACCGCTGCTCCTCTCTTCTCTCTTCGGCTTCTTGTGCTGCTGCGGCTTTTTCATCTCGTTCACGACAAACCATGCCGCCATGCACACCACGGCGAGCGTCACCAGGACTTCCAGAAGCGACATGCTTCCAGGACTGTTTGGGACTTCTTGTGAGCTTGCTACTTCTTGCGCTGCGGCGAAAGGTACGTAGGCTGCCTCAGTCTTTCCAAACAAACTTGAAAGTGTAAACAACATGCTGCTTTTGTTCTTCATGATCTTCTCGAGTCTTCTTACCACTTGTGCCTTTTCTTCTTCCTCTCGCTCTTGCTCTCCAACTCTTCCTTCGCTGTTGCACATGCCGATCATGTTCAGGAGAAACTTCACTCTTTTCGTGCTGAGAGGCTTTGTTCCTAGGTCTGCTGTGTTCTCCTTTGTACCAACTGCGTGTACAGTAAGCTTGCCTTCACGTATTGCTGCTTGTAGCCAAAGTAACCGAATCTGCAGGTGCTTGACTCTTCCTGTTCCTTGGCGGTTTGTGATTCCGCGGCATGCGGAACTGTCTGTGTATGCTTTGAGTAGTACTCGTTCTCCTGTAAGGAAACGAACTGCTGCGTGTAAACCTATTCCTTCGCTTGCTGCTCCAGTAAGTGCCATGTATTCTGCTTCTGCTGAAGATAATGCTATCGACTTCTGTGTCCTGCTGTAGCTGTAGAAGTATGCACCGTCCAGGTAGAACATGGCGCAACTCACTGACTTCCTAGTCTGCTTGTCTCCGGCCCAGTCGGAGTCGCTAAAAACTTCCAGCAAACGTTCGCGTGGTTGTTCTCGAGGTTCTTGTAGTTCTTGTGGTTCTTCGGCGCGGTGACGTAGAGCTGACGTTCCTGGGCTGTTCCTGTGGTACGTAACGGCGTAGTCTGACGTTCCTTTGAGGTAGAGCGCCAAGTCCTCCAACTCCTTTCTTTTACGTTCCGTTGGCTTCGTCATGGCAGTACTGAGGCTACGTACTGCGAACTGAATGTCCGGACGGTCGTGCGCTACGTACAGCAAAATGCCGACACAACTTCTGTACGTTCTCGAGTGTTCCTCGTCCAGTTCTTGGGATACGTCAGGTTCCTGACTAGCCGGTGTGCAGGGTGAGTTCTTGGCCTTCTTCTTCTCCAGCTTGAGGTCCTACGCCCCTGAGCCCTGTCGATCTTTCGTTTTTGGCCCGAGGCTGTAGGCTCAACGCCCTTTCGATTTTGAATCAGCTTCCTTGTAGACGATCGATTGTGGGCCCAACACCCTGCTACACAAGAGAGAGGCCGCAGCTTTTTCGCGTTTTCTGGGCTATGCGAGATACTCTGCGTGGCTACTTTGTGGCTACTCTTTGTGGCTACTCTCTGTGGCTACTCTCTGTGGCTACTCTGTGTGGCTACTCTGTGTGGCTACTCTGTGTGGCTACTCTGTGTGGCTACTCTTTGTGGCTACTCTTTGTGGCTACTCTTTGTGGCTACTCTTTGTGGCTACTCTGTGTGGCTACTCTGCGTGGCTACTCTGCGTGGCTACTCTGTGTGGCTACTCTGTGTGGCTACTCTGTGTGGCTACTCTTTGTGGCTACTCTGTGTGGCTACTCTGTGTGGCTCTCTGTGTGGCTACTCTTTGTGGCTACTCTTTGTGGCTACTCTGCGTGGCTACTCTGTGTGGCTACTCTGTGTGGCTACTCTTTCCTGCAACCTGCCGTGCCTTGGTGCCTTCACTTGGTGCCTTCACTTGGTGCCTTCACTTGGTGCCTTCACTTGGTGCCTTCACTTGGTGCCTTCACTTGCCTTCACTTGGTGCCTTCACTTGACCAAGTGACTTCACTTGGTGCCTTCACTTGGTGCCTTCACTTGGTGCCTTCACTTGGTGCCTTCACTTGGTGCCTTCACTGGTGCCCTCACTGGTGCCTTCACTGACACTTGGCGCTCTGAATGCAAGCAGCAGCCCTCGTATTTTGCGGCTGCAGGCCTGTGCGCTTCGCCTACTGCCGCTAGTATGTCTCCGAGCGATGCTTTCGCTCAAAGGACTGCGAGGTAACCGTTAGCTCCATCGTGCTAATCTCCGTCGGGCTGCTCGAAATCTCTTCCAGATGAGCCTGATAAACGATTGCTCGCGGAGGCACATTTCGCTCGTGACTTAGTCTTGATGCGGTGTCGAGCAGCCGTATGTCTTTGAGTGCTTTTTTGCGAGCAGCCCGCCACCCTACATCTTCGGATACTTCCAGCCACGTTGCCTGCATGAAGGTAACCAAGTACAACGGTTTGTTTTTCAGCAAACCCGAAGCTTCCATACCACACACTCGCAAGAACGTGCTGTGCAGATTCATGACGAAGCAACTGGCGTTGGCAAAGGGCGCAAAGAATTTTTGATTTAAAGCGCGACAGGTGCACTTGAAGTTCCAGAGATCCAACAGCAGGACATGACTCGCGCGAACAAATCGCGACCTGTCTCGCATGCGCACTGCTATCTCATGAATGATTCTATCACGGCGAGAGTCTTCACGCGAGCCAGGTGAGGGCATCCACTGCTCTGGAAACAGGAACGCCGTGATGCACGTCAGAATCGTGAGGTTGAGGTCTGCAACACCGGCCATCTCCCTGGCCGGCAAACACACACACGCACGCACAGACGCACACACAGAGCACTCGCAGGGACCACGCAGGAGCCCCTAGCCTCGAAGAGCTCCACGGAAGACCTGGCCAGGAAAACATAGTCTTACAGCGGACTGGCGGGCAACTGCAACGGTGCAAGGTGTTCTCAACGGTGTAACTGGTTTGTCGGCGGCTGTACGAACTGCCCCTTCACTCTGTTGTAGGTGACAGGAGCTGAGTGCACTGACTTCTATAAGCCCAATCGGCTGACTGTGCACAAGGCGAGGGCTCGAGAAGTGCAGTGATAAATGCCAAAGGCCTCGAATTCACCGATAGCTCGGACTAAACAGTTGCTCAGTTCGCGGGGTTCAACAGCTTTCTGAAAGCCGCTGTGGGCAAGGTCGCCGAGACCCTCCCGATCTCACGAAGCTCAACCGTTCGATCGGGGGCAGCGCAGTTGAGTCAAATGGATCGAGCACGTGTCCGCCTCGACTGTGAATTCTGCACCATGCACCTCGATCGTCAACATCTGGGTGGACTCTGGATGGTTCTTCACTATGAAAATCAAGCTGCGCAAGCTCTCGCCGCAAATGACGCTCGGCCAAAAATTGACCGTCTCCCACACCACGATCCAACTGCAGCGGACGATCATCAGCTTTTTGCTGTGTCGGAAGTGGAGTTCGGCACACCCGGCAACCTGAAGGTCGGGCTCCACGACTGGGTCGGGCTCTTCAAAGGCCTCCTCCTCCAAGTCCTCCTCTTCCAGCACGTCCCCGTTCGGCCCTTCCTCGGTGATCAAGGGCTCCTGGAAACCGTCTGCAGCGCGGGAGTCGCCAGACTCGTTTTTGGGCTCTGCGGCGCGGGAGTCCTCGTTGTTGAGCTCTGCCGTGTGGAAGTCGCCGGGCTCGTTGTTGGGCTCGGTGGTCTCTGCAGCGCGGGAGTCGCCGGACTCGTTGTTGAGCTCTGCCGCGTGGAAGTCGCCGGGCTCGTTGTTGGTCTCTGCGGTGTGGGAGTCGTTGGGCTCGTTGTTGGTCTCTGCCGCGTGGAAGTCGCCGGGCTCTGCGGTGCGGGAGTCGTCGGGCTCGTTGTTGGTCTCTGCGGTGCGGGAGTCGTCGGGCTCGTTGTTGGTTTCTGCGGTGCGGGAGTCGTTGGGCTCTGCGGTTTCCGCGGTGTGGTAGTCGCCGGGCTCGTTGGGCTCGGTGGTCTCTGCGGTGCGGGAGTCGTCGGGCTCTGCGGTCTCTGCGGTGTGGTAGTCGCCGGGCTCGTTGGGCTCGGACCCTGCAGCGCGGGAGTCGCCGGGCTCGTTGGGCTCTGCGGTTTCTGCGGTGTGGTAGTCGCCGGGCTCGGTGGTCTCTGTGGTGCGGGAGTCCTCGGGCTCTGCGGTCTCTGTGCTGGGCTCTGACTCTGCCGCGTGGCTGCCGGGCTCGGTGGTCTCTGCCGTGAGGGAGTCTTCGGGCTCCTTGTTCGCGCTAGTGTTGGAGCGCGCCGGCAGGGCTCCTTCAATGCATTCCACCCTCATCCCAAAACGCAGGCTGTAGATGGAGGTCGGCGCGATCTTCTCGATGCCGCTGTACACCACTGCCTTCTCGGGAGACTTGCCTTTCTTCTCCATGACCAGGCGGACGTGCTTGTGCTCCACCACAACGGCCGTCTTGCGGGCTCTGGTCCGCAACTCAAGCGACACAATCTCCGTGAAAGGGTGGTCCAGGAGTCTCGCCAAGATCAGAAGCTGACTTGCGTTTCTCTCTTCCAGCAACTGCAGCGTCGCGGCGCCATGGATCAGGGCGACCAAGCGGACGCGGAGGCCCTTCACCATGAACTGGGCCGAAACATCGCGACCGGCCAGGAAGCTGAGACCCTGCTCTCCTCGGACGGGCACGCCGCAGAGCACTTGGTCCTCGGCCTCCGGTGCGACGCTGAAGGCTTCCTCCTGCTCTTGCTTTACCCGCTTCGCTTTCTGAGCTTCCCGATTTTCAGCTTCCCCGGCCTTCCTTTTGCCCTTCCAAAAGGCCTCCTTCGCGGCGGCCTGTTCCACCGTCACCGTCTCAGGTTCGGTTTCGGCGCCGAAAAAAGCCGCCAGAGCGCTGATGCCGTTGATGGCCTTCTTGATTTCCTTCTTGTCGGCTGCCATCTGCTTCAGTACGCGCTCGTGCTGTGTCTGCGTCACGACCGTAACGGAGTCGACGATGCGTCCCTCCGAAGCTTTCTTGTCATCCAACTCTTGCAACCGAGCCTTCAACTCATCACGATGGGTCTCGGTCAGAGGCTTGCCCCTAAGCGATCTCCTGGACTCGATCTGCATGACGAGTTTGCGCCGGGTCTGCCAGTAATGGTCCATGGTCTTGGGAACCGCACTACCAGCGAAACTGAGCAACGTTGAGCAAAGTGCTACTGGAATTTGCAAAAGCAGCTCCCCTGTTGCGCCTCACTCGGTCTTACTTGCAGCAGGCCGGCCTGCCACTGCTGAAGACGTCGGCGAAGGAAAGACCTGAGCGAGGGGCGGGTGCTCCTACGGCTCCTACCGCACACAGCTCACACGGCTCCTACGGCTCCCACCGCCCCCTGTTGCTCACCGAAAGCTGAAACCAGCACTCCTACCGCAGCACTCCTACCGCACACCTACCGCAGCACTCCTACCGCAAAACACTCCTACCGCATAGCACTCCTACCGCAAAGCACTCCTACCGCATCCTGCCGGGACCCCTGCCGATGGAGGAACAGGAGTAGCCTGCCGTACACTGCTCAGCACTCCTACCGCAAGCACTCCTACCGCAAGCCGACCGCAAAGCACTTCTACCGCAAAGCACTCCTACCGCAAAACACTCCTACCATCTCCTACTACCGCATTCTGCCGGGACCCGCCGATGGAGAAACAGAAGGAGCCTGCCGTACAGTGCTCAGCACTCCTACCGCAAGCACTCTTGGACTCGGAGGCATCCTTCAAGGAACTGGCCTTGAAGGTGGGGATCTCTACGCCAGTGCTGCAAGAGCTTCTTACTGCGGGATTCACCACGTTTGGCAAATTGTGCTTTGCGGTGTCTGCTAATCCCGCGAGCTTGATGATACTGCAGTGGACTTATGGGTTCGTAACGTTTTCAGCACTGCCCCATCGCCGTATCAGGTGTCCTGCCTTAGGCGGTTGCTGTTTTGAGGCCAACAGCTTGAACATTGCAGACCTGCACACTCGTGTGGAGCCTCCGGCTGATAATCGTGCGTAAGCTCCCGACAGCAGAGCGTGCGGCCCGTGCCCAGGCGCAGCAGGCTCGCCTTGCAGGGTGGTCTTCACCCCGGAGACTATTCCGTCTAATGGCCTGGTGGATCTCTTTGTGGACCAACTGGAGTCCGAGATTCTGCAATATGTAGGGCCTGAGCGTTGTGTTTCAAGGGCCCAGGAAATGATGTCCGTGAAGAAGGATAAGACCATCAACATCGACCAAGACGGCCGTATGCGCATCAATTCGAAGCCCAATGACCTTCGGTGCGAAACCTCTTCTGATGCTAGACTCAAGGCGGCGTGGAACCGCCGATCTCTTGCAATGGATCTAGCAGGTGTGTGCTCATATATAGAGATCGAGAAGTGGGTGCAGCATCTGTTCTCGTGCCAGGCGCGAGAGGTGCCTAAGGGAATGTCGCCTATCAGCGTCAATCAGCTAATTCAGGCTGACCGTGCCCTCTTCATGTATGCCTCTGAAAAGTTGATGGGTCGGCTTGCTGCTCCGGCCGGACAGCCCAAGCCGCTGATGACGTCATTCAAGAATTGATGCACTCACCACAGGTCACTCAGTTTCTGCAGCCTGTCCAACGTCCGCCTGACCCTCCTGCCGGTTGGGATAGCAATGCTTGGAAAGGCAAGGGTAAGAAAGGCAAAGAAGGCAAGGACGGAAAAGGCAAGACAGGCAAAGGCACTGGTGCAGCTCCTTCCAAGCCTGACATTCCTGAGGGCTGTGTATCTCGAGATGCCGCCAATAAGCCCATCTGTTATGGATTCAACCGCGGCACGTGCCGATGGAAGGGCAAAGCTGGCCGATGCCAGAGAGGACTGCACATATGCTGGAAGGCTGGATGCGGTCGTGCCAAGCCCTACTTTGAGTGTACGCATTCCGATTGACAGGACCCGGGCACGGCTTCTCTTGCTCGGGCCGTGCCGCTCTCTGTGCAAGAGCAAGATTTTTCTACTGCCACTGTCGGCGGTACCCGGACATTCGACGATGCCGAAGCTCTAGCCGCGGAGTGCCTTAAATCGGGGCCTGTTACCCGTGCCCAATTGGGGCGGATCTTTGAGGTTCTTCCTGATTCCAAAGGTCGCCGCCAAGGGGGTGAGTTTTCCAAATCTTTTGTGTCTGGAGCCTATGTCTTTGCTGGACAATCGGGTGTGTGTGGAACCACTCGAACCTATCCGCATTGCGTCAGGGCTTGCATTTCAGTTCTGAATCATTTCTTGCCGTGCCATAGTTTCACATCCATTGCCCTCTTCTCTCAAATTGAGGCTGATGTGCATGTCGATCGCCATAACTTACCAGGCAGCTTGAAAGCTGTCATTGCGATTACAGATTTTAAGCAGGGTGGCTTGGTTGTCGAGGACCCCGATGGTCCCGAACGCGCTTGCTTCCAAGGAAAGGTTGTCCATGGGCGGATAATTCCTTTTCAAAATCACGTCCTTGTCTTTGATGCTCAATCCCAGCGGCATTGGACCCAGGCTTGGCAAGGACGCAGGCAGGTTCTGGTGGCTTACAGCGTGCCCACTCAGGGTTTGTCTGCTGAGGACATTCAGTTTCTGCGTGACTTGGGTTTCTCGCTGCCTTCTGCTACGAGAGTTCCGCGACCCGTCCGGGATAGCCGTCCCTGGGCCTTGGAGGTTTTCGCGGGGTCTGCGGTGCTTTCTAAAGCTTGGATCCGAGCTGGGTTTCGTGTGCTTGCCATCGACATTTGTGTTCGGGGTGCACAAGTGCCCATTGCACCTTTGGATTTGACTTCGGCGTCGGGCCTTAAAATTTTCTGGGATCTTGTGGCTAAACTGCAGCCAGAGGCCATCCATGTCGGGGTTCCATGCGGTACCGCTTCTCGTGCTCGAGAGAAACGCCTTCCAGCCAGTGTTGTGGCGGCTGGGGCCCCACAGCCCCAGCCTCTGAGGGACGCTTTGCATCCTTTGGGCTTGCCGAGTTTGTCTCCTGGCTCTCTTGACGCCCTCCGAGTTACAAAGGCTAACCAGCTCTATGAGCTTTCCCTTGACATTGCCTTGTTTTGTGCCAGCCGCGATATTGTCGTGTCCATTGAAAATCCGGCCAGATCTTGGGCCTGGGCGGCCATCGTTGAGCTCCTGCGCCGCAGGGCTAACGCCTCTGACTGTGCCTGCTTTAATCGCCTGCAATCCGTCATTTTCCATTCCTGTACGCATGGGGGCAGCCGTCCCAAACAGACCAAGCTGCTGTGTACCGCTGACGTTTATGCCACCCTCAGCGCCCAGTGTGATGGGCGGCATCAGCATGAGCCCTGGTCTATCACAGCCAAAGGGGGTCGTTGGCATTTTGCCACTGCCCAAGAGGCGGCCTATCCTGCTCTTCTGGCCGCTCGCATGGCCCGCTGCTTGTTGCTTCATGTGCGTGCCAAACGCCCTGCCGTCCGTTTGGAGCCGACCCTCTCCGTCCTGTCATCTGCCGCTGTGTCGCGTCAGACTCGCAAACACGCCGCCCTGATTCCAGAATTTGCTCAGGTGATCCAGCTGCCAATTTCTCAGGTTGATAAAGGCATGCGTGTACTTCGCGAAGTCTCGTTCCATGGGGAGTGTGCGGGAGACTGCGACTCGAACAACCCTATTGCCGAGGCCCAGGTGCCCCCTGAGGGTTCTAGTAGGCCCCTCCCTAATAAGGGTTTCGTTAAGGTTGGTGTGTGTCACACCCCTTCTGCTTTCGTGGAAAAGGCGCAGGCGTTGCAGCACCCATTCGATACCCACAATCCGGTGGCTGCAGTCACTGTGGATGCGATCGACTTTCTGGTGAACTCTTCTCCGCAGCAAGTGACTTTGCACAGGAAGCTGGCCTTGCTTAAGTTACAGCTGCTGATCAAAAAGGGTGAGAGAGAGGAAGCGGACCTCCACAGCAAGATGCATCCTTCAGTGGCTAAGGTGATGCGTGGTAAAAAGATTTTAGCACTTAAGGCCTTACTTGAACAAGAAGGTTATGATGACCTTGAGGCAGTCAAGTTCTTGACCGAGGGTGTACATGTCATGGGCTCTGAACCCCATCCTCCTTGCTTCGACAAAAAGGTGAAAGCCGCTACGCTAACTGAACAAGACCTGCGGGATACAGCCAAGGAGAGACGGGAAGCCATTGTTGGTGATGATGCACCCGGCGACGCGGCCAAGGCTCAACTCTTGTTCAAGGTCACGCAGGAGGAAGTCGACCTGGGTTTCCTAGATGGGCCGTACACGGCTGATGAAATCTCAAACTTGGTGGGACATGACCAGTGGTGCGTCATAAGAAGGTTCTTGCTGGATCAAGGGTCGAAACATCGGCCTATCGATGATGCCTGTCAGTCGCAAACCAATGCTGCCTACAGCGCTACCATCCGCTTGGAGCTTCACAATGCTGACTACGTAGCATCGTTGGCCCTTCTTATCGCCAAGAAGGCCAAAAACCAAAAGCACGGGTCAGGTGCATGGCTGGGTAAATGCCTCGACTTGACCAAGGCTTACAAGCAGGTAGCATTGCACCCGGATCAACGAGATTTATGCATAACCTACTTCAGAGGACCAGGGGGAGAGGAAAAAATTTTCCTCCCCAATGCGCTGATGTTTGGCGCCACTGCCGCCGTTTTCGGGTTCATTAGGATTAGTCGGTGTCTCTGGTTTCTCGCGAACAAAGTCATGAAGGTTCCATCAGCTTGCTATTTTGACGACTACCCTCTCTTCGCGCCAGAAGAGGGGGCCCAGGAGGCAGATGAATGCATAAGTCAATTCTTCACCATGCTGGGGTGGTCTCACGCCGTCACCGGCGAAAAAGGCAAGCCGTGCTCATCATCCTTCGATGTCTTAGGACTTACTTTGGACTTGTCGCAACTGCAGAAAGGTTTAGTGGTTCTCAGGAACAAACCCGGACGGGTGGAGAAAATCTTGAGTGAGTTTGACAAGGTCTCTGAACCGGAAGCCATCACCCGCCACCAGATACAGGTCCTCCATGGGCTGTTGAATTTCGCTGCGGGGTTTTATTCCGGAAGGGTGCTGAAACACTTGTGTTATGATCTCTTGGAGTTCCTTGAATGGCGCGGCCCGGTCGCTTTCCAACGGCTCCAGAAGCTTTCGGCACGAGTGAAGCATGTGCTGGAATCGATGCCGCCCAGGGTCTTGTCGTGCAACTTTGCTTGTGAATCAATACTCGTGTGGACCGACGGCTCGTGGGAATCGGGACATGCGGGTATTGGTGCGTGCATCTGGGATCCCTTGAAACAGTGTGGACATGTGCTAGGAGGTGTGGCTCCATCTTGGGCGATTGAGTCGTGGAAGGAGGACTTCGATGCTCGGGATGGCGAGCCTCAACTTATATGCCACATTGAGCTGCTTGTTCTAGTGGCGGTAAGATGGATGTTCCAAGATCAATTCTTGAACAGGCGAGTGATTATGTTCGTCGACAATGACGCCGCTCGGTATGCCATTCTGAAAGGTGGAAGTGGAAGTGACGGGATGAACAACTTAGTCCAATTGTTCGACCTTCCTGATCTAAAGTTTCCGTCTCTGTACTGGATTGACCGTGTACCGTCGAGTAGCAACATAGCGGACGGCCCTTCCAGAGATGACTTCGCTGCTTGGCACTTAAGTTGATGAAGGCTACTTGCGTGGAAGCCTTCGCTTGGCACGATGAGCTTAAGACTTCAGTCATCACAAGGCGCAAGAGGAAAGGGGTGTGACCGCGCCCAAATCCTCGTGTGCCGATCATCCGAGATCGGGAGGTGCATAATCTTTTAACTTGATGGCCGGCACGTTGAGTTTCCCCTTTGTACGCCTCGAGCGAAAAAGAGAGATGCGCGAATGATTGAGGTCTGTGCCATATTGCGATTCAAGAGAATACATTTATATTACAAAGGATTGCTTCTTCGATAAATAATTGGAGACTGCGATCTTTATGCTTACAATGTGTTCAGAGTTTACGAAACCTTTGAAACTTTGTGGAAGTCAGTTTTCCGCTTGCGGACTAAACCTTTCCACCAAGTTTCAAACATTCTCATGGGAAATGAGAAGGGTTTCGTTTTGTACATGATTTTATTGCATGAAGAATTTTCTTTGACTGTTTTCATGTGCATAGCATTGATGCGAACAATTCATATCCGTTGCAGTCGGCCATCAAGGGCAGAGAAAATTCTTTGCCCGCCCGCCCAACCCTTTCTTCAGCTGTGGGGGGGGGTGTGACCGCGCCCAAATCCTCGTGTGCCGATCATCCGAGATCGGGAGGTGCATAATCTTTTAACTTGATGGCCGGCACGTTGAGTTTCCCCTTTGTACGCCTCGAGCGAAAAAGAGAGATGCGCGAATGATTGAGGTCTGTGCCATATTGCGATTCAAGAGAATACATTTATATTACAAAGGATTGCTTCTTCGATAAATAATTGGAGACTGCGATCTTTATGCTTACAATGTGTTCAGAGTTTACGAAACCTTGGAAACTTTGTGGAAGTTATCGTCTCACCCCAAACAAACTTTTCTTTTACATGCTGATTTCCACGGTGAGTCTTTCATGAATGATTTTTGGCGTTTTTTTCGGCATGCGGGATCCACCATATGGCTTGATCTCATTCAGCATGACCGCGCTCGCCCTCTCAAGCAACTGACGGGCGGGGCCCATCATTCATGAAATTTTTGCACACAGGGGGGCCCAGCCATGGCCGGCCGTACTGACCTCTGTGGTCTCTTTCGCCGCTCTGAGCTCGATGCTGTGCGCATAATCTGGGCTTGCATTTCAAGTGATGCTCGCCGCTGCCTCATAGACACTTGCTGGTCTGTTCGTGCAGCGTGCTTCTGCGCTCAGCCTTGACCGACGATGAGCGACCCCGCTCGTGAGGTTGATGAACTTTTGGGCTCCATTGACCTTACAGATACCGGGGGGATTGGGGATCATGAAGCCCGATCTGCAGTCAGTTTTGACCTTGACATACCTGTTGCAGCACGCTCCGACCAAGACATTCCGGACAGCCAGCTGTTGTCCGTGCTTGAGGATGATGAAGTGTGGGACGGCCCTGCTCCCAGTGCCCCGGACCCTTCGTGTGCTGCTGAGATTTCAGACTCCGAGAGGGAGTGGTACTTGCTTGCGGGATCGTTCGGGGCTGCCGGCGCTGTGAGCGCGCCCTGTGAGCCTTCACCACCGAGCTTGGAGCCTGAGCACCCTCCAGTGGTCCCGCTCTTGGACAGCACCGCCGAGGACCAGCTGCAGCAGAGTGCAGTGGGACATATCCATAAGAGACTCCGCATGGAAGCCCCACTCCTACCGTGGGAAAGGCAACCGTTTGCTGCAATCTTTGGGGGCCCATCTTGGCACGACACATTGCAACGCCAGATCAGCATGGATCTAATGCCTGGGGTGGGTAGTGCCGACGTCCTTAAGCCAGCCCTGCCTAAGGCTCCTGCCCCTAAGCCCCAGATTGTAGCAGCGTCCTTGGCGAACCGCCTTCACCGCTTCAGGCCGGAAGCCTCCGACGAGGACGTTCGCAATCTTGCTTTGGCCAAACTCAAGGTATTGATTACTAGTGACCCCCTTGCCAGTGAGCTGGGTAAATCCTTGATTGATAAGCTTGGAGGTCTTGTCCAAGAGGCTGTGGTAGCACAGTCCTTCGCAGATACTTTCCGTGCCAAGGCGTCGTCCACGCTCAATGGGCATGCGTGTGCTCTCGCAAGGTTCAGTGCGTGGTGTGCTCGCCAGTCTGCAGAGCCTCTGCGGGCTGACGAAGAGCATCTATATGCGTACTTGTGTGAGATGAGGTCCTCCAACCGGGGGGCCACATCGGGAAACAAGTTTCTGCAGTCGCTGACTTTCTTGGAGTATTCCGTCGTGTTACTCTTCATGTCGGTCGATGTGGTCGTTTCTGCGAGGGTTCGGGGCGTCGCTCGAGACATGGCCCTAACCAAGGCGCCGCTGTCTCAGAGGCCCGCGCTCACGGTGGAGCAAGTCGCAGCGCTAGAGGCGCTCATTGTCAACGACCTGAACGACACTGACGCCTGTGTGCTGGGCCAAATACTTTTCGCCGTTCACTCAGCTGGCAGGTGGAGGGATATCCAGGGATTGCAGTCGGTGGAGGTCTCAGCAGGTTCCGAGACCACCTTGTTACTGGCAAACGGTCTGAAGAGCAAGACCACCCATACGGCTCAGGCGCAAAGGAGGCTTCTGCCGTACGTTGCGATATCTACTGGTGTCTCAGGTTACGACTGGGGTGACCGCTGGCTCACTGCTCGCAGGAACGAGGGCCTTCAGTGGGGAGGCGACTTCTGCCTCCCCTCGTTCTCCTTGAGACTTGGGCAGTGGAGCACGGCCCGCATGGGCTCCGGTGAGGCATCTGCGTACCTTCGGGACTTCCTTGAGGCTGTTGGCCTGCCGAACAACAGGGTTGGGACCCACAGTCTTAAGACCACTCTATTGACGTGGGCGAGCCGCTCAGTCAGGATCGACTTCAGTGAGCCCGAAAGGCTACACCTAGGCCACCACTCCGCCCCGGGCACCCGATCTATGCTCGTATACAGCAGAGAGGCTTACTCCAAGCTTTATGCCAAGGTCTTAGCGATGTTCAAAACGATTGAGGATGGATCTTTCAATCCGGACCTGCCTCCGGCGCGTCGGGTCGAACACCTCGCTGAGGCAATCATGGTTGGGAGCTCGCAGGCGTCCAACCTGGGACCGCAAGCCCCAGCCGGGGAGGACAGTGCCTCTTCGGACGATTCCGATGCAGGGATCCTAGAGGGCCACGGCGAGCGTCACGCACCAGACTTAGTGCGGGGGGCGTTCCCGGATCGTTTCCTCCAGGACATCGTAGTGCACAGGTTTTCCGGCATATCGCATGTTGTCAAGGACTCCGGCGTGCTTTGGTGCCACAGGCCGGTAAGTTCGAACTACACCCCGCTGGCCGAAGCCGGCGTTGCTGCTGAGTTCCCAACTGCGTGTCATCAGTGCTCTAGAGCTTTAGGCCTGGTAGATGACTAGTTCTATGAATCCGTTGAGGCGGTACGGCAAAAAGCACTGCTGGTCTCAAGTCTGTCATGCTCTCTTCGACTCTTGTGTGAGTGCGTGGGCGTAGTCTTCCTGAAGGGGGACGACCCAATCGATGCACCATCTTAGGAGCCGGGATAGCGAGCGTTGGCATGTCACTTGCCGCTCGCTGACCGTAGGCTCAGGGGTCACGAGTCAATCTGAAGAGGTAGCGACAGTCATGGAGGATTTCATGTTACACGGGACGCTGAAGTAGGATGCTGGCAAACACCCACAACATGCTACTGTCTGCTACATTTAGCATCCTGCGCTGATCATGGCTTCAGGTCTCGACTCCTCTGCTTACTTCTTCGAGCGGCTCGCCAAGGTTGGTTTGTCGAACGAGTTGAGAGATGCACTGGCCCGAGCCGGGTACACGACGTTTGGGTCCCTTGCCTTTGCTGTGTCCTCGACCCCGGGCGCGGCAAGCGATGAGGCTGTCTCCAGGTGGGCATTGCACCTTGCAGATCCGCTGCCGAATGAGCACCAAATGTCAGTGCTGCGCCGTTTGCTTTTCGAAGCGCAATCCATGTCGATTGCTGAAATGCGTGATCGGGTCAACCTGGCCCCAGGCGAGGCCCCCACTCGTAAGTTGCCAATGATCGAGCGGGCTGAGAGGCTGAAGGCTCTGCGTCGTAAGCTGCCTGGGCTCATCTTGACCCCCGACACTCTTCCGGCCAACCGTCTGGTAGATAACTTTGTTGATCAGCTTGATTCGGGTGTGCTTACTTACGTGAAGCCGGATGCATGCATCAGCCGAGCACAGGAGATGGACTCCAATAAGAGGGATCCGACCCTGCAGGTACAGGGAAACGAGTTGAAGCTCGCTGCTAAGCAGGTTGAGCTGAAGTGCTCTATCAGCACTGACATGCAGCTGAGGCAAGCTTGGACCCGGAGGTCTCTCGCCATGGAACTTGCTCAGCTTGCCTCGTTCACTGTGTTGGAGACCTGGGTTCAAAGCTTGTTCTCAAGAATGCAGCGGGAGCCTCCAACGGGGTATCACTCAGTCTCTCTCTCGCAGATTATGGCCGCCGATCGGGAGCTCTTTCAGCTGCTGTCGCACAACCTTATGGGCCAGATTCAAGCGTCGGCCGGAGCTGTTCGTCCCCTCGATCTTGAAATCGAAAGCCTAAGCAAAAGCACCGACGTGCTAGTGCACCTGCTACCGCTCGTGAAGCCTCCTCCGATGCCTCACCCGACGAAGCGGCCCCATCCCGATCCAAGGCTCCCGCATAAGCCGACTCCCAAGGGGAAAGGAAAGGGTAAGACCGCAGATCCGAACCAAGAGGATGGGAAGGCCCCTAAGTACACCTTGCCCGATGGGTGTGTTCCCAAGAGCGAGGACGGCAAACCTTGGTGCTTTCTGTGGAATCAGGGCCGATGCAAGTTCAAGAATCCTAAGAAGGGCCGATGTCCTCGGGGCTATCATGGGTGCTATTACCGGGGGTGTGGCAGGCCAGTGCCGTTCATAGAGTGCACTCACACTGATCCCGCCTGAAAGGCGGGGGCCCCCGCGGGTCCTGAGCCTGAGACCTTGCCCCGAGGGGGCCGCGTCTCCCAATCCGATTTCTCCAGCAGACCTCAGTGGCCCCGAACCACAGGATGCTGAGAGCTATGCGCTGAACCTCCTGGCGAAGGCCGAGGTCTCTGCATCTTCCGTGGCTCAATTGTCATTCCTTTTGCCTTGCGATTCCAGTGTTCGGCCGTCGAGCGGCCCCAACGCATTCCTTTTCAGCTGCGGTGCCTATGTCCATGGGGGAGTCACGGGTACTTTTGCTAATGCCCGAACCCTGCCTGCCTGCACCCAGCTCCTTGCACGTTTCGCCAAGCAGTTCATCGGGGACTCTTTTCCATTCACATCACTTGTGCTTCTTCGGGACAACCTCACCCACATGCATCGTGATCGCAATAACACCGGCCTCAGCGCACTGATCCGATGTTCAGATTTTGAGGGTGGAGGTCTTTGGGTCGCCGACCCCAAGGGCTCGTCGTCCATGCAGTTCGAAGGCAAGGTGCATCAGGGTACCACTCGCGAGCTTGAGCGCTGCCTGCACTTCGATCCATGCAAGCTGCACTGCACGTTGCCCTGGTCCAAAGGCCCTCGGATCGTCCTCGCGGCCCATTCGATTCGAGATGCGTGTAAACTCCCGAAAGCCGATGCTGACTTGCTGCTCAAACTTGGTTTCGTTCGGGCATCGAGTGAATCTGACACCAAGTCCTCCCCAGCCCAGATTTCCCTTAGTGGTTTAGGCCCTGCCTGCCGACCTTCTACGGGTGTTGATGCGCCTGCCGCCACCAGCCTTGGTGAGCTACATCAACCTTCCCAGCGACCCTTGTTCATCGAACTTTTTGCTGGCTCCGCGGGGCTGTCTCGGGCCATGCTTGACCTTGGGTTTGAGGTCGTTACCTTTGATCATTATGTCAATCACCCTAAGGCCCCAGTTTGCAAGCTTGACCTGGCCGCTGCTTCCGGTCAGTCGGTTGTCTGGGATGTGCTTCAGGCCCGAAGACCCCTTGCCGTGCATCTCGCGCCTCCGATTCTTGCTGACCATGAGGCTCTTGCACGATTCTGTTGTGACATAATCGGCTGGTGCATCCAACGGGACGTCGTAGTGTCCCTTGAGCAGCCTGACCGGAGTGAAAGTTGGGCCCTGCTCACGTCGTTGGCCCGTTCGCGTGTGTCTGCCGAGGGCCTATCCAAATGGGCTGGACTCCACAAAATCGTGTTTCCCCTCTGTATGCACGGGGGGTCGAGTCGGGCCCTGACCCGTCTCCTTTGCACGGCCCGAGTTTTCGACGCTTTGGCCGTCGCCTGCGACGGCAAGCATTGGCATGGTCCGCGCCCCGGACCCTGGGCCGCCCCTGCAGCCTACCCTCCGGTCCTTTGCCAGCGCCTCGCCGGTTGCCTGCTCCAATGTGCCAAGGCTCGGAATGCTACCCCCGGGCCGCTTTCCAGAGTTAAGGAGGCTTCAACTGCGGCAGTAGGCCGCCAAACCAAGCGCCATGCCCCTTTAGTGCCTGAGTACCGAGGGTAGTCCCGTCGGGTTCTACGCTTCAGTCCTGTGAGCGCATCCTCTCTGCCAAATGCGCGGGGGGATCAACCGAGGATGGACCCGAGGTTTCGGGAAAGCAGTGGAAACTGGGGATATTGCACTCTCCCTCAGAGTTTCTGAGTAAAGCCTTAAGCTGCCCTCACCCCCTTGATGCTGCTAGACCGCTGTCCAAACACTTTCTGGATGCCCTCGAAGCTGTGATGACGACACCCCCTAAGGTCTTAGAGCTCAAAAGGAAGTTGGCGATTGCTAAGGCTGAAATTCTGGTCAAGAAGCTCAGCTGCTCTGAGAAGGCCAGGCACCAGGCCCTGCCGGATCATATGAAGAAAGTGCTCGCAAGCAAGAACCTTTCGCTCTTCGAGGCACTCCTCAAGGAGCATGCGTACTGGGATATGGGGGTAGTCCAGCTCATGGAAAGGGGTGTTGACCTCGTTGGGTTTCAGGACACCCCTCCTTGCTATCCGCAAAAGATTGTTCCTGCTACCATGTCCAGGGACGAGTTCCTTGACTCTGCTGACTGGAGGCGGCGGGCTCTCACAACACCCGGCACCAGGGCTCCGGATGCAGCTCAGCTTGCCCACCTTGAGCAGGCGTGCCAGGAAGAGGTAGACCTGGGATTCATGCTAGGACCTGACTCGGAGGATCAAGTGTCCCAGCTGTTCGGCCATACCCGTTGGTCATGCATCCGGAGGTTTGTCTTGGAGCAAAAACCAGGGAAGCTTCGGCCCATTGATGATGCAAAGGAAGCGCTTGTGAACAGTGCCAGTACCTCGACGATGCGACTCGAACTTGAGGACGCCGACTACCTGTCTGCCATGGCCCTCGAGGTCGCGCGACGCATCCTGGCCGACCCTTCCAAACCAGGGGCTGTGCCATGGGTCGCCAGGTGCCTCGACCTGACGAAGGCCTACAAACAGATGTGTGTTTCCGAGCGCGACCTGCAGGTCTCGGTGGTCTTCTTCCTTGATGAACGAGGTAAGCCGAGGTACTACGTAAGCCATTCGCTGTTATTCGGGTGCACATCGTCGGTTTTTGCATTCAACAGGGTGTCAAAGGCAATCTCCTTTCTGTTAAACCAAATGTTGCTTGTACCAAGCTCCGTGTTCTACGACGACTTCCCTCTTCTGTCACCGAGCCCCACAAGTGACAGCGCCACGTGGGCCACAACCGCACTGCTTGACCTTCTGGGCTGGGGTCATGCCCGCGTGGGCAAAGACACTAAAGGAGTTCCCTTTGCGGCAAGCTTCGAGGTCCTTGGGATGTCGATGCAACTTGATGGTGTTCACAGGGGGCGCCTAACCCTTCAGAACAAAGCCGGACGCATTGAGCAGCTTGTGTCTTTGTTTCAGGGATTTCTTGACAGGGGTGCCATCACGGTGCATGAAGCGCAAGTTGCCCGCGGGCTCTTGAACTTCTCTGCTGGTTATGTGAATGGTCGGGCCTTGCGCTTGACTTGCCAGGAACTCCTTCGCTTGACAAAAGCATCGTGCCCCGCTCCTCCGAAGGCGATCCGCAGCTTCTGCGTCAACAGCATTGAGGCCCTCCGGGCGCTAAGTCCCCGTGTGCTCAGTGTGTGGGACAGCCGAGCTCCCATACACATCTTCACGGATGGTGCGTGGGAGCGTGGCCGAGCGGGCATTGGTGCCGTCATCTTTGATACAGCTTCGGGCAAGTCGTGGACTTACGAGGGTTTAGTTCCAGAGCCGCTCATCCTCCGATGGGAGGCCGATGTCGGGACCCAGCTCATTTGCCAGATCGAGTTGTACGCTGTTGTATGCCTCAGATGGGCCCTGGCCTCCACCTTTGATCACAGACGCTTGATTTGGTGGATTGACAACGAATCGGCTCGCTATGGCGGCATTTCGGACAGTCCCTCGATGTCATCCTTGATTCAGGCCTTTGCGCTAGCGGATTCTAAGGCACCTTCGTATAGCTGGTACGAAAGGGTCCCATCTTTTTCTAACATCGCGGATGGACCAAGCAGAGGCGATTCGGCAGAGGCCTTGACCGTCTGCACCGACAAGGTGGGAATCGATTACCCTCTTGACGAAAGCCTCATCCGGAGGCTCCTGTCAGCTTGATGCCCAGTATGGGAGCTCGCGTACTCGGGGCACCTAGCCAATCGTCGGGGGGATATTGTGCCCCGTAGATCTCGTAGGCCTTGTGCCGAGGTCGGGGCAAACCGGTATCGTTTCACGAATTCCCCCGATCGGCTTCGCAGCCAAAAAGTGTCCGAGCGAGAGCGATTGCATTTCACATGTCCGTTGGAACATATGCTGTGATCTTCGGAAATTTTTATTTTATATTACGATTGGAATCGAAGCTTATCCGTTTCGAACATATCTTTGAGAGCAGTGCCTCCCATTTGAGATAATCCAGTTTTGTTTTTGAGTTGCCCCAGTGTTGTATAATTAGAAAGCGAGATCTTCGTCAGGAGCTCAGGCCAAACAAGAGCTTTGGGATTGCAGTTCTGGGAGGTGCTCTCCCAAGACTTCAAGAAAGGCCAGGAGCAGATCCCTCATTTCCGGCATGCATTGCTGAAGCTGGCTTTGTCAGGGGGTGGGATCACCGCAAGCGCAGCTCGGAAGATGTTCGCCCGAGACTGCGAGAAGAAGGTTCTGGAGGGGAACCAAGTGTTGTGCGAACTTCGGGAGCTCATGGTCAAGAAGGGTGTTGACGTCTTCAGGGATGTGAGCTTCGTGAACATCTTGGGAGTGGTGGACATGAATGTCGTGAGGCTCTGTCTTGGGCTTCCTCGTGCCGAGCAGGAGAAAAGCTATAGGGCCGTCCAAGGCATCGCGCACGATGCTTGCCTGCTCTTGGGATTGGAGAGTCCGTGGGCGGCATTTGCTGAAGCAAATGCCGATGGCAAGTCATCGGCCCAGGGAGCAGCTGAGAGGATGAGGGAGCTGAACCCGGATGGGTCACTCTGCAATGCGGAGGACTTGCTGACTGATGCAGGCTTCGTGGTCGATGCCTTTGTTCGTCGCAAAGCGGTCAAGTTGGAGTGCCGGATCAAGCACATCAAGGGCTCCCAACTTCAACTGCAGGATCTGCAGAAGAAAGGCTTCATGAAGGTTGCCAGCGATCAGTTCCTTGCTGGTGGGTGGATCTTGTTCACCCCAAAGAAGGAAGCAGAGGTTCTCGAGGATTTGTCCATGCTGGGCTTCTCCCAATCTCTGGAGTATCAGGCTGCTCTCATGGTCGCAGACATCCAAAAGAGTTGGACATATTGGCACAGAAGCATGATGTTGATGGGGTGCTCGGCAAGCTCAGCTTGCAAATGAAGCCTCACAAGGCTTTGACAGTCAAGCAAAAGTTCACCAAAGGCCAACTGGTGCTTGTGCCAGTGAGCTGGAAGATCATTCACAGGCTGAAATCCCAAGGCTCTGTAGCAGCCTCGGGCTCGAGGGCCTACCAGCGGCGGGGCGGTTTCTACCGACGCTCGAGCATGGAGCCTTTTCTGCAAGGAATGGCATCGTCAGCGATGGCCAGCAAGCTGGATGTGCTTTGCTCGCGTGGGTGGGTGTCATGTTATGATGTCGTTGAGTCGGCTGGAAAAGAGGAGTTCAATGTCGCTGTGATGATCAAGAGTCTGGCAACGACTCATCATGGGGATGTTGAGGTTGTTCACCTCCAGCTTCCCAATGCTATGTCGGATGGCCATGAATGCAGGCAGCCGAAACTGACTGGAGAGGTCATACGTTTTGATGCTACTGCCTATGAGGGCAAGGTCAAGGTCAATGAGGTGTACATGTTGGTTGGAGTGAAGCTCAAGAAGGACCTCCAGAACCAGCCCTGTCTCTACTTTCCTGCTACCCAGGAAGCAAGGGCGTCGATCCTTATGTCGACAAGGACTGATGCCATTGCAAGTATGATGGAGATTTTCTGTGGAGGATTGGCAGGCTGGTCTACGGCTGCGAAGTATTTGCCAATGGAGGTGGCGATGCGGGTCGATCAGGATGGATTGGCTATTTCGAACATCCTCCTCAACGACCCAGACTCCATCCTTTTCTCAGGAACGGGCGACCAGGCCACTTTCAACGTGTTCTGGGGAGAAGTACTGGACCTCCGGTGGCTGACTGGAATTCAAGGGAAGAATGTTGAAGTCATTTGTGCATCCCCTCCGGTGCAGCCTTTCCTGGCAGGGGGCGGAGGCCTTAAGGAGGGACGGAATGCCATTGGCTGGTGGCAACTTTTCTTGCTCATGCGATTCCTGCAGAGGCGTGTTGTGGTGTTGGAGACCGTGCCAAGGGCTGCATACCATGAGGATATGAAGTTGCTGATGGATATTTTCCGATGGTGTGGCTGTCGGTGTGTCTGGAAGGGATTCGTTGAGGCATCACAGCACACCCCAGCAGAGAGGGCGAGATTTTTCCTGGTCCTGTGGAACTCTGCAGATTACCCAGCAGCAGGGATGCCTTTCCAGACGGTCAAAATGGAGCAGCAACCTTCGATGGCATGCCATACTGCAATGTGGATGAACATGCCTGAGGACTATGACTATGAGTCGGACCTGATGATTTCCCAGGCGAATTTTTCCAAGATTACGAGCAGGGAGCTCCTTCCACCCTGGCAGAGGAAGAACCCTGGAGCTGCATATGCATTGAGACTGGTGGATCAGGCCCTTCCTTTGCCACTCCTGCCCTCCAACTACGGCAAGGCTATCCGGCTTCCCTGGATTGTGCTCCAGCAGAAGGGCCTCTACATGCCCATCATGCCTTATGGTGTTGGGGCCCGCACAGTGTCAAAATGGGAGGCCATTCGATGCTATGGGTTCTCTGCAAAGACCCTACTGCCGGGAACAGAGGAGGACGCCTTCATTTTGCTGGGCGACTGCCTCCTACCATGCCAAGCTTTGAAGGTTTTGGTGTCGGTCCTTGGGCACCGACATGAGGACCCCATGGACAACATGGAGATGCTGAGGTTCTTCAATGAAGGCATCCATGAGCTCAGCTCCACATGGGCCCCCTTTGACCAACTGGAGCCTTTTCAATGGGATGGGTGGTCTGCCCTAATCACCAAGGATGATGAGGCTCAGAAGGGCCCGGACGGCCTCCTTAGGCACAGACTCTTGGGCAAAAAGATCCAGATTGAGGCACTCCTCTTCCACAGAACTGAAGGCCAACCGGTGACACACCCTGAGTACACCCGGACCATCTATGAGGACCTCAAGACGGATGATGAGGAGGCCGAAGATGGGCATGAGATTTACCGGCTCTACCCGACCACAGGAGGTAGCTCCTTGATCTCCCTCAAGGACTCTGATAGGGTCGTTCAGGTTCACAGGCAAGTGGCTGAATTTCTGGCTATCCCTGAAGATGACATGGCCTTGGTCAAGATGTCCCAGCCAACTGCCCGAACATGCAACTGGTTGCTGGCGGGAGAAATTCCAGTTCGCTACGATGTGGTCCTGGTTTTGGTGGATACAGCCCTGCCCGAAGCCTTCTGGATGCCAACACAGCTTCACTGGGAAGCCTTGAGGCAGACATACAGTCCCCATCACAAGAGCAAGCCGGACATCATCTTGATCAACGATGTCGAGGTCCACCAATGGCCTATCATCATCAATTCTGGAGACTTCATTTGGCTCAGATGGGATGGCCATTCCGAGGAAGAGAACTTGAAAGACTTGGATGTTTTCAAGCGCTTTGATGAGATGCCACCCCCTCCTGAGAGCCCACCCAATGAAGATGCAGAGAGCAGCCCTGGAGGGTTGGAGGAGGACAACGAAGACCCGCATGATGGAGACACATCGGATGCACCTCCTGCTGCCCCTCCTACAATCCCTGATACACTTCCTTTTGAACCCTCGCTGGAGGCGACTCCCTCCCAGCCGGCGGAGTCTAGTACTTCTGGGCGGCCTCTGGTGAGAACCACGACTCTCCATGAGAGAACTGCCCGACGACAGCTGCAGAGCCTTCTGGTTGAAGAATTGCCGGCTACTATTGACTATGGGCCCAAGCGATCTACCACGGTGCACCATGCGATGTATCTGGAATTTCAGGGTCAGACACTGCCTTGTGCCAACGACGACCCACGATCCCTGGAACAGGTGGTGCAAGATGAATGGGGCCTGCCTTCAGAAGCTGTATACTTCCTCCTGAATGGCAAACCGGTCGGTGCCAAACTTGGCTGCTCCCACGTCCCGGTGGGTGCCATCGTCCATGTCAGGGGCAGAATCCGTGGAGGGACCAATGGAGTCATGCAGAAGCTCCGAGGTTTACTACGACAAAAGGGTGTCCCAGATGAGCTTTTGGAGGTCCCCTGCAGGACTGGTTCTGACAAAAGGATCCTAGTGAAGGCTCAGATGATCAATCTGGGAGCCAAGCCTATCTCTTTGGTTGGAGAGGATTCCACGATCAAAGTGGATGAGTTGGATGGCATTGTGGTTGCTGCAGAATTGATTCGGAAGGAAATCAGTCAGTGGGAAGAGGTTGTGGATGGACCCATGAAGTATGTCAAGAAGGCTGCACCACCATTGAGTGAAGCAATGTTCGCCACATGGGGCCGGAAATTCTTTCTCAATGGCAGACCCACACATGATGCCAAACAAGCGGACACATGTTTCTTCTTGATGAGAATCAAACGCGATTTCAGAGATGTGGTCCTCAAGGCAATGAGCCCTGGATTGTATTTCTCACCGAGAGGAGCTGACAATGCCCCCGATTCTGCGTTCAAAGTGGTTTGGGTTGCTGACAGACCGGTCAGTGAATTGGCTGTATTGGCGAATGCGGAGCCACAGACCTTTGGACTGGTTCGGAACAAGACTGGATGTGGGATCAGAGTCAAAGTCGGCGACTACGCAAGGTTGAAGCAAAAATGGCAACCAAGTTGGCAACCGCTGCCCGACACTCCCTACCACCTCATGGTCCACAAGTACTTTGATGTCCAGAACCTCCCTCTGAGCTGTTCCAAGGCGGAGGTTCAAAAGTTCCTGAATCAGATCAAATGGAACTGCTTGGCGATCAGGCAGGTGCAACCTCGCACATGGCTGGTCGGGGCAGAGTCTGCACCCCCACAGTTCGTGCATTTGGCAGCCCATGGAACTGTCTTGATCACTGAGAGAGGACATGGCAAG